CAAACATGGCGACCGTAAAATAACAAAAACATCCGTCCTTGAGTTTTGCTATTGAAACGAACATTTTTACTCTAGTGCTCCGACACATTGAAATAAATGTTTCTTCTAGTGCAAGCACCGTTTATTTAACAAAAACTAAAGCGATAACTCGTCTTTTGACCTACGCGACAGTCTTTTCTGGCCGCCATTTTCATGTCACGCAACGCAAAAGCTTGGAGTGCTCTGTTACAAAAAGAAGAACTCTGTCGAGCTAAAACATTGCCAAACGTACAGGGCCTTTTATCTGATGAAACTAAAGCCTCAGAAGGAAGGATAATTTCTAATTTTGGAATATGACTACGTCACATGAAAACCAAGAATTAAACCATGGATGCTCGTGATTTCAGATGGCCTCGCTGCTAAAGGCTGGTTTTCACTAGCGAAGGAGTCGTAGTCGGAGTCATAATCAGAAGCGTAAAGTGATACGATCCAGTGAAAATCAAACCGACGGAGTCGGAAGCAGAACACCCATTACGCTTTTGACTCCGTCGCTTACGATCTAGTAAAAACTAGATTGTCGGAGTCGGAAGCAGAAGCGGAAGAATAAACCAGTTACAACGCTCCGGAAGAAATGGAAACGTTCTGATTCTTCCGACTCCGATTCCGTCGAGCTTATGACTGCGCTTATGACTCCGATTTTCGATTTTCACTAGGTCACAAGCGCTCTTACGTCTCCGAAAGTACGTCTCCGACTACGACACAGACTCCGACTCCGTCGCTAGTGAAAGCCAGCCTTCCCTCATTTCCCGCCAATGATGATACTTACCGCTGACCATAAGTATCACTGCGTGCAGAGTGTGAGCGTGCATAAATTCACGAACCTTCAATTTTATTTGTTTTCTCCAGTGAAATTCTGTATCACTAGATTCGCTACTTTGCCTTGACAGGGATTTTTCTGCCCTTATTGTTGGTTATCACAGCGAATCTTCACAGGTAAGCGAAGAAAGCTTTCTAGTCCACCGTGATCCGCATGGCGTGGGATTAATCCCAAATGAATCAAGAAGGTCAGGAAGCTCTCTATGTAAGCTTTGTGCAATGAATGATTGCCAAGCAATCAATCATTTGCTGTTCGATTGCTTTCTTTGCAAAAATGTCTACCATGGAGAAGTTATCATCATCACCTATTTCGCTCAGAAAATTCAAAGCAACAGGTTCAGATTTTTGCAGTTAGGCATTGCGTGACATTCGTTTATTGCCTTTTGTTTGTTTGTTTTTTTTTTTTTTACATTCGAGAAGTAAAGATTACTATTAACCATAATTTTTTTTATTAAACGAAAAGGTGGTCACAAGTTTTCTTCAGGTCGTTCATCTTGATATACGTGTCTTCCTGACATTCATTTGGACTTACTTATCCTTATCATCATTTCTTTAGTTCAAGTCTTCTGTGAGTTCTGTCCAGTTGTGTTTGAATGGTCAGGTGGCATATTCTTACCTTAATTTTACATTTTGAAAATGTACACTTTTTTTGAAAATGTACCACTTTCTTAATTTTTCACTTTGAAAATGTACCACTTTCTTTAATTCTACAGACTAGACTGCTAAAAGCATACACTCCATGTAACAAAGGTTCTAGTTGCCCATTCATTTGCTATTTTGCCATTTTAATGTGAGATTCTATTTTTCAAGAACAGTGCATGGTCATAAAATCCAAATATATATCAATATTTAGAGAAAGAGGAACCCAGGGGGAAGACACTTTTGAATCATTTCTGAAGACATCACAATGATCTTTTAATGCCATGTTGTTTCTTATATATGTGGTGTTTGTTCAGGTGACACTTTTTTAATATTCAAGTTGTTGCAGTAATGTGCGGCCTTATTGGAGGGCAGCTCTTAATTATTAGGGTGGTGCTTAATTATAATGTTCAGTTCCAGAAAATATCCATACCCCCTCCCCCTACCGCAGAAGGGATTGGAATTTCCTGGGGGGTGGGGGGCTCTGTAAGACCTAGAAATTTAAAGAAATGTATGAAGCTCAATCGGAATTTCCAGAGGGGTGGGGGGAGACTTAGAAAAATTCCCTTCCATGGGGGAGGTATAGATATTTTCTGGAACTACACAACTGAGTATGGGGATGGTTTGGGTGAGGTATAGTACATGAAGAGACTGTACCATGACTTCTCATTCAGCTAAGTGACATACATGTACCACAAGTGTAATTTATCAGTAGTCAACTGTGGCCAAATGATTGGCTTTTATTTCCTGGAAGATTATTGTCAGTGCTTGGTTGTATGGTTTATTTTAGATCAGTGTTGTTCATCACAGCTGTGTTTTAATCATAATGAGTAACTTTGGCTGGTGTAGAAACATGCTGGGTCAAAAGCTTACTGATGATGAAATGAGAGTAATAAAGCACCCAGCAGTGGAGCTCTACACTCATGTTACCTTCAAGACTATTCAGGCTGGAGCTCTGTTGGGAATGGTTGTCATTGCTCCTGTTTTCCGCCTTGCTGCCGGTCCTCGCACACTATTGGTTATCAAAGAAACTGCACTTCGTTATGGAAGAAATGGTGCAATTATTGGCATTCCACTGGGTCCTCTTATGACTTATGCCAAAGCCACAAGCGGTGAAGGCATAAATGATGATGGAATGTTTGATCGTGCATACAGATTAAGGTATGAAATAAAGTAATTTATTATGCTAAACAGCAATGAAATACCGGTCAGGTGAGCTTTTGCGCAAAAACAAGACATCTTCACACATGAAAATATTACCCGGTATGTTATTGTCACACGTGAAAAGATCACTGACTGCTATTGTGGTTTCATAATCAATTGAAATGGTTTGGTATTTCATTGGTGTTTATAATGACAAAGAGGAGATTACATGGCCATTGTGAGATGTGAAATTTCTATTCTTCTGTTTAAAAGTATTTCACTCATTCGTTGCTCTTATTTCTCTCATGAAATATTTTTCAACACTCGAAGAGAAAATTTAATTTCTATCTCTGTGCAGCCATTAAATATCTTCTATTAGTTACATTGAACACTTAACAGGAATTAATGCTCATTTACGTTTTGCAGTATCTCTTATTTGAATACATAACTTGACTTGTATGATTTATGTTTCTTTGATGCCATACCATTGCATAATTGTTTCTTTATCATTACCATGGTAACCGACTATTTGCAAATAGGCCTGTCATGATCAATTGACTTGTGTGGGGATTCAGGAGAACTTTAACTTTAACTAAGAGGGGATGGCTAGGATATAGCAGGTGCCTTTGAAATAATGATGGATTTCCTGGTCACTGGCATCCCCCTACTACAAATGAAAATTACTGCGATATGGCAAAAGCAGTGAATGTGCAGTTAAGGACAGAGAGTATCCATGTTCACCCCCCATGGAAGGTCTTTGGAAATTCTGACAGAGTGGGGGGTCTCAAAAGTCAAAAATTTTAAAGACAAAATAAAGTAGCGAAACTAGAATTTCTGGAGGGCTGAGGGGTTTCAAAATCCCCCAAAAAAACGCTTCCACAAAGAGGGCTTGGATAAAATTAAATAAAATAAATTAACTGTGTTTAACAAAGGTAACACACAACAGTCTTACAACTGACAAAACCTGTGGCCCTCAAATTCCCGATCGAATTGGAATTTAGAAATGTTGATTTTTGTGGAGGGAGGAACACCGGAGAACCCGAAGAAAAACCCTCAGAACAAGGACGAGAACCAACAACAAGCTCAACGCACTTATGACATCAGGTCCATGATTTGAACCCATGCCACATTGGTGGGAGGCAAGCGCTCTCACCACTGCGCCACTCCTGCTTCCCATAATAGTCAGGATACATGTACTGCTGGGCGAATTGTGCATGTAGGTTCTATTTATTCAGACAGAAGTACAATATTCTCCTGTTTTATAGCATTTGTACCCAGTTAGACATCAATTTTTATTCCACATAAAAACAAAATTAAAATGAAATGCCTTTTCAGTACCTTAATTGCCCTAGTAGTGAAGGCAAATACCCCCTTGACATGTGACATTTCAAAGAAAAACAATTCTTTTCCTCAATTTTGAATTTTTCACTATTTCCTGTAGAAAAGTTATAGTATATAAATAAATCTCATGTAAAGAACATGCTATGTTTGGGAACAACTTGTCAATGACAAGTGGGTGTAGCTTTCCGTCAATGTTCCATGACAGAATCAAAGGCAGTTATCCACCAAACACTGCTTGTCAACAGTGAGTTGTTTACTGCTCTCAGTTCAGAAATAATTTTTCTTCAAATTATCCTTTAAGGTGCGTTTTGTTATTTTTATCGACAGGTATAACCGTAACCAGGTGCGAGTGGACCAAGCCTCCTTCCTTGGAGCCTTGGGAGGTGCTGGTGGGTCCTTGTTGTTGGGGGGCTCAGCCGTGTCTGGAGCCGTAGTGGGCCTGGTAGGAGGAACAGTTGCTATGGGTGTTTACAACACTGTTGCTGCCGAGAGGCATGAATAAGCTAAAAGATGGAGTACAAAGTGGGGAGTGGACTAACTAAACAAGATGTGGTGTTTCTATTTGTAATTAATTTGTATCTACAGATGGATTTAAAAATGACCTCGTGATCTGTGATTGTCAGCAGCTTTCAGTTATACCATGTTAACAATGGGGGTGACAGGCCTATACAACTCCTATCCACGTGTAATAGCCGCTTTTGAAGTTTTACTCGAACGAGTATATCTTTTAAGGATCTGCCCCTTTTGTATGGCAACTATAGCAGTTTACACAAAGTTTTTATTTACACACCAAACCAAAACCATAGTCATGTCACTAAAAGTTGACAGTTAATTGTGATAATACCTGTGCATTCTCCGGGGCTAGTCGTTTTGTTAGCAAACAGGACTTTGCGCTCGATGCTCAACGAGTTTGCCAAGGAGAAAGGTCTCTGAAGAGTTCTTTGGCCGTGACAAAACAAAAGCGCTGGGTCATACTAGCCACGAACAATTTATTATCCTAGTGACGTCAACTGGCTAATCGCTGTAATGGGTGGAGGTGCACCAATAAAAAATCGAAGGAAAACAGAGGGGCCTTTTGTTTATAATCACTGTATAAACTTTATTAAAAATTAGAGATATTACACATTATGAGTATGTAATAAATTTCAACCTTGACTAACTATACTTCAGACATTTGTCAGCCTGTTTTCACAATACTTAAAAGTATGTACTTCTTAAAAGTTTTTGCTTGTCTTTTCTCGCATTAAGGTAATTCCATCGAAAAAGGAAACATTAAAAATTTTCCAAGTCCCGGCCCACTTGGTGATAAATTATTTTAGAAAGTAGCTCAAAGAAAATACGCGTATGAGTTCGAGATTAAGTGATAAATTGTTTTAGTAGAATGCTAACTGAAATTTGCTTCAAATAATGATTCCAATTATTTCTGGTCTTAGTATTTAACTTCACGCTTTAGAAAATTCGCGCGGACTGAATTGTCAATTTAACATTTCGGCAGTTGTGTACGCGCTTCTCAGTTTCTTTCAAAAAATTTGAAATTTTTAATTCAAGAAACCGTGAATGTCCTTATTTTAGTCTTCTCAGGAATTTAATTATCCACTTGTTTTTAAATGTTCTTTCAAAACTTCGGAAAAACGGGAAAACGTTGAAATTTTGTCGACCACACCAAGCCACTGCACACTAATAACTCCTTATTATGGCTTTTTGCTTTGGTTTTGCAGACCCGTAAGCGGCCCGTGGGCATTACGGGAGAATAATGCCTTACAATTGGCCAATCAGAGCACAACGCCTTCCAAACTAAAATGTGGCATTCCAATTTGGAACAATTCCGAAGGGTACTGGTATTTGATGCGGAAAAAGTTTGTGTTTCCGAAAGGTTTTGGCTTATTGGAAGGAGAAAAAGAAGTGTTCAGTTGAGTCCGCCAGGGACAATACATCCAATTTCACCAAAANGCGCTTCTCAGTTTCTTTCAAAAAATTTGAAATTTTTAATTCAAGAAACCGTGAATGTCCTTATTTTAGTCTTCTCAGGAATTTAATTATCTATTTGTTTTTAAATGTTCTTTCAAAACTTCGGAAAAACGAGAAAACGTTGAAATTTTGTCGACCACACCAAGCCACTGCACACTAATAACAGGCCCGTGGGCATTACGGGAGAATAATGCCTTACAATTGGCCAATCAGAGCACTCGTTATATCGGCTACAAACACAAACCATATAATAATGGCTGAGCGTGCAATGACTCAGCCAATCAGATTACAGCATTTGCATCAGTATACTAGTAGAATTCTACGAAAACGCGATAGAAACACAGATCTAGCACGAGCTGTTGACGTAATGATGGCGCGGGCAAAGAGAATTTACATTTTGATGATCAAAGTAAGTTGCTTTCTTTTTTCTGTCGCGGAATTTCCTTAATAGAAAACATGTTTCTTCGTATTTCTATCGAGTCTTAGCATAAATTTACCAGCGTTCTAACATGAATGCCGTTCTCTGATTGGCTACGCTACTCACTATTTTGTTGTAGATAGTAAGTAGCGTAGCAGTGTGCGCTTGTTAACAAAATGACCGCTTCTTGGTGTTTTCGAGGTGTCTGTGAAGAGAATTTAGATAAAGTTTTGAACGACTAGTGGATTCATACTAAGACAATTAGATTATTCGCTCTCGATTTCTATGCGTGATAGTTGACTCGGCCTGCGCCCTCGTCAACTGTCACGCGATAGAGATCTCCAGCTCAATCTAATTTTTTAATAGAAACACTCGTGGAAGTTTGGGAGAACTCGGAAATGCTGTAGAAACACTCTTCTTTCGGCACGTTTTCTTACAGCATTTCTCGTTCTCTCAAACTTCCACTCGTGTTTCTATTAGACAATCAGATTATGAGTTCGAGATTTCTATCACACATAGAAATCGTGAGCAAATAATCTAATTGTTTTAGTATAAATCTACCAGTCGTTCAAAACTTTATCTAAATCCTCTTCACAGACACTTCGAAAACGCCAAGAAGCGACCGCCATTTTGTTAACAAGGGCACACTGCGAAGCTACTCACTATCTATCACAGAATAGATAGTGAGTAGCGTAGCCAATCAGAGAACGACATTCGTGATAGAACGCTAGTAGATTTATACTAAAACTCGATAGAAACACGGTACATGTTTTCTATTTTTAAATGTTATGAATATTGCAAAAATGCGAAAAGGAAGGGGAGGGATCGGCAAAAATCGCGGGAAAACACGAAGGAGCGAGTTTTGGTTTTATTTCTCATTGGATGAGAATGTGGCGCTCGTTAAATTTATAAGGGCAAATTGCTGTACTTAGCCACGCCATCTGTATTGATTCTTTTTTTTTCCTCGACCAGCAAGGAGCCAGACGAAATGTGTATGCGAAGAGAAACCCTTGTTTAATCAAACATCTGGAAAATTTGCCAGGCAATTCAAGGTTTTGACTCTCCATGCGTCGCGTGGTAACCGTTACTGATAATGGCCTCTTTACAATCGAAGAGATAGCAAGACCATGTAATATATCAGCGCTACTGTTATTGCCAAACAACCCACTGCTACAGAAACAATGCCCCATCTCCATGCCTGTCGCGAGTTATAGTGAGCTCCAGCTGTATTTCCTCGTAAGAAATCATCTTTTACCTAATAGAAAGAAGACTCCAGTTGGCAAAATGAAAACAACCAATGAAAATAAAATTAAAATTATGAAAACTAGGGAAGATTTTTAGAGTATTTTGCGAATAAACCCGAGGCTGAAAATTCTTCCTTTCTTTAAACGGCAAACTAGCCAAAACAAAACAAAAACAGCATAAACCGTATGTTCGGAACTTATAGCATTACTGCAAGATGTTATGTGTGTAAAATGAGGCTTTGTTGCCTGCAATCTGGCTCCAAAATTACTTTAACACCATCAAAGTCAATAAAACGAAACTGACATACGCCATCAGTAATCTAAGAATATTCACAAGACTATTTTCAGCCTAATGTCGGCTGAAAAATACTAATGTTCCGTCTGGGCCGGAAACACAATATTCTTATAGAAAGAAAACAGGGTGTGGGCGCAGTCCTTCTCTTTTTGCTTTTTGATCATTTACTTTGCGCAGTGGCGCAGTTCAAAGTAGTTCTCACGATCACGTTTCAAAACAGCAATGTTCCGTTCGCCTCTCGGTATATGTACTCGCTAAGATATCATACCTGCACAGCATAGCACAGCGACATCACCCCACACGGACATGCGCAGAATAAAGTGCTTTGTATAGCCAACAGTATGTGGTTAGGAGGCATGTCTTGGTTGAGTGCTGCTCTCAGCTGCAAAACAGTTGCAAAGCAAAGCAAAAACAATTTATTTGAAACAAAATTGCTTATTACTACCTAAAGATTTTCTTTATAAGTGTTTCTTAAGGTTTTTCTATAAGTTGTAATCTTTGAAAGGACTCCTCTCAAAGCACATATACATTGTGGGTTCCTCAAGACGTCGATGGTTGGACGTGTCCCAGGGTAGGGCAGGTTGGGCTTCAAAGTAGAAAAGGTTCATCTTCAGCTACCATTGACTGCACACGTTGTCCCATGGGTTGGAATTTCGCTAAAACAATCAAACCCTAACCCTGACTGACAAAGGGCCGCAAAAGACAGACAGCAAAATTTCAACTATCTGAACCTTGTTCAGTTCACTTTTCATGTGCATTTAATATTGGCGAACGTTTTTAACATTGCATTTGGACAAGAGCCTGATGATTTATATNATGAGGCTTTGTTGCCTGCAATCTGGCTCCAAAATTACTTTAACACCATCAAAGTCAATAAAACGAAACTGACATACGCCATCAGTAATCTAAGAATATTCACAAGACTATTTTCAGCCTAATGTCGGCTGAAAAATACTAATGTTCCGTCTGGGCCGGAAACACAATATTCTTATAGAAAGAAAACAGGGTGTGGGCGCAGTCCTTCTCTTTTTGCTTTTTGATCATTTACTTTGCGCAGTGGCGCAGTTCAAAGTAGTTCTCACGATCACGTTTCAAAACAGCAATGTTCCGTTCGCCTCTCGGTATATGTACTCGCTAAGATATCATACCTGCACAGCATAGCACAGCGACATCACCCCACACGGACATGCGCAGAATAAAGTGCTTAGTATAGCCAACAGTATGTGGTTAGGAGGCATGTCTTGGTTGAGTGCTGCTCTCAGCTAAGAAACAGTTGCAAAGCAAAGCAAGAACAATTTATTTGAAACAAAATTGCTTATTACTACCTAAAGATTTTCTTTATAAGCGTTTCTAAAGGTTTTTCTATGAGTTGTAATCTTTGAAAGGACTCCTCTCAAAGCACATGTATATTGTGGGTTGCTCAAGACGTCGCTGGTTGGACGTGTCCCAGGGTGAAGCAGGTTGGACTTCAAAGTAGGGAAGGTTCATCTTCAGCTACCATTGACTGCACACGTTGTCCCATGAGTAGGAATTTGGGTAAAATAATCAAACCCTAACCCTGACTGACAAAGGGCCGCAAAAGAGAGACAGCAAAATTTCAACTATCTGAACCTTGTTCTGTTAATTCACTTTTCATGTGCTTTTAATATTGGCGAAGGTTTTTAACATTGCATTTGGACAAGAGCCTGATGGTTTAGATCATTCGATGGAACGCTCTCCACAACCTTTTTGACACTGAAAATGTGCCAGTATGCAGGACATGCAGGGGTGCCAGGGCTCGCTATCGCAAACGTCACGATTTGTGTTTAGAATAGGCGCATATAGAGGAAAGGGTTGAGCTGAGTGTCAAAACGCACGTTTTGGGAGGAGACTAAGAAAACGTGTACACACGAATGAATATTAACTTTAGTGATCGCCAGCTCAGAGATGACTGCACTCTAAGCTTATCGGAAATCTACTATGCAGTTAAGTGTTGCTGTGTATTACGTTCGGCTGTGTTATACTCGTACTGCCAGGCTGCTGAGTTGTAGGGTACATGTTGGACATCATACTTCTGATCTGAGAGACATCTTGCCAATTCGTAGCCTGTGTGTTTGATGTTGGCGCGTCTGTGGCAGGAAAATGAAAGATGAGAGTCAGAGGGAGCGTGACTGCGTGACCGAGTGGTTAGGGAGCCTGACTTGAAATCCGATGGTCGCAGGTGAAGGTGTTAGCTAGGTGTAGCTGAGCTCATTGACCACTTTAAACATTCTTTTAACATCAATTCATCAATATTCAAAACTTGACGACGACGTTTTATATGGATGGCCTACTTGATTTTTATCTCTTAGCTCC